CTAGATTGCACGTCATATCAGCCCCGCTGCGCGTTACAACAGACCCTCACCAAGATCAACACCACCTAACCCTCCCCATAATTGGTTCCCCTACTTGCAACGGAACTACAAACGCTACTTCGGTCTATGGCGCAGCCAACCCCATTCCTTTAACTATAAGTAGACCCTACAATGACCCCCCACCTTCTCTTTTTCCACTTAATCCTTTATATCCCCCTTTAGTTTAAACAGTCACCTTCATAATCTTATTCACAACCGTTTTTCTTCGCTTGTTACATCGCAACGCAGTTCACTCCCACCTCGTTACTTTCACCCAACGTTCTTTCCCCCACCCTGAAGGTGACAACAAACTCTACCAGCAGCAGCAGATTTTGTAAGGTAGGATTCGCGTCAATCCCCGTCGAACCACTGTTTACTACTCGGCTCAACCACCTCTGATCTCTTCTATCCAGCCCAATGCCATGTTTCCAGCAACATGACATCCGTCCATCATGAATCGTTCAACAGGTTCCAACGGCCGCTGAATGTTGACTCCCACAATCAAGGCCCGTTCTTCTCTGTACTTCTAAGTAACTCACGTTCTATACTAAATAAAGTGCACTCGTTGCAGCGCGTTGCTTATACCACTAACTACGACATCATCTTTATCACTGAAACATGACTAACCGAAAGTACTACGTCTTCTTCCATCTCTTTGCACGGATACAGATTTACAGTAGCAACCGGGTTAACCGCAGGGGTGGAGGCTGTCTGGCCTATGTAAAAAGCGACTTACAAGTCTCAATTATCAATCATCAATCGCTCCAGAAAGTCGAAGATTCCCTTTGGCTCTCTATCCATCTTAAGATACAAAACCTCCACATCGGTTGTATCTATCGCCCCCCTAGGCACGACACAAACGCCTTCCCCAAAATTATTGAAGCTTTCAACTATCTTGCTAGCCTTCCGTCGGGTGGTAAGCTGATAGCAGGTGATTTTAATGCACCGGAAATCGACTTGTCATCAATGTTTGCCCCAAATAAGTTGTTTGATTTTCTTTCCTGCCTTCGTGCCGGTAATTGGGTGCAACATACCAAGACTCCAACTAGGTTGTCAAGCACACTTGATTTGATGTTCACATCAAATATTTCCAAAGTCACTGCCTCTGTTCTCGACTACTTCCCTGGCGGCGACCACCGAATGGTAACCTGCAAATTTCCCTCTCGTATAATTTTACACTCTATTCAGAAAGCCATGAGAATCTGTACTGCTATCGACTGGTGTAAGATCCCCAGCTTACTGCGCTCCCTTGAGTGGGACAGGTTTTTCCTCTCATTCGATGCACAGGAAGTAGCAGATAAATTTTATCCCAACCTATAAACTTGTATTTAGCAAGCCACCATCCAACCAACCATGGTTGCGTTGAATAAAGCTAATAAAAATACCGAAACGAGTTTCGAAAGGAAACGCTCGAAGTTAAAGAAAGCGATTCAAAACACCAATGACTTCTCTCTAATAATGCAGTTAGATCGTATTACGAGTGAAGCTAAAATGGCTGAAACTACTAAAGTCATGCAGTAAGAACAAGCAGCCTTGAAAAACCCTAATACAAATGTAATCTTATCAAGAGTATTTAAATCCCGATCGCCCAAACCAAGACTCTCTGTACCCGAAGATATTTTAAAAGACAGTACTGTCTTAAACACACCTAAGACAATTGCGGAATCTTTTAACGCGATGTTTGCCTCCAATCTGACGAATGTACCAATGCCAAACCTTCCAGCAATCCCTATACTCACTTCATTCACTTTATCTACGATCAACTTCAACCTAGAAGACATCATCCACTTAGTAGATAAAATCAAACCATCACGTCTCCCCGGCCCCGACTACCTCCCACCATCCATTCTCAAGGCCTGCCACACAGATATACCGATTTTATTATTAAACCTATTTAACATTTCCCTCATGTGCGAGACTGTACCTTTACAGTGGAAAACCTCGATAATTATACCAAGGCTCAAAA